TCAGAATGATACAGTCGTCAGAGGAAGATTTGATTGCAAAAGTAGACGAAATTGTCCAAAGCAAACTTGATCCTCTTGAAAAGAAGCGACAGTTTCTTGAGGGCAAGCAGTCCGAAATGAGAAACTTACAAGAACAGGTCAGCAAGTGTCTCAATTCAGGCAGCCAGCAAGGAGTATGTACTCAACATGGCAAAGAAGCTGATACCCAAAATGGAGGAGGTCAAAAGCAGCATGGATAAAACCAAAATGAATCCCACTGAAGTTGCCGATTTGACTTTTGTCCAAGATCCTAAGTGCATGGAAGCTGCAAGACACCTTGGGGATTTATCAGCAAGCTTTAATGATCAATGCAACGTGCAAGTGATCAGTGTTTCATGCTTTGACGAAGAGGAACCTCAAGTATTTGTCACCGTCTCAATCAAGTATGCTACCAGACCTGCCTATGCTATTGTTCCTTGCTCATCAGTTGTATGCCTCATTCAACCTCCTGATATTGTCGGAGTCGCTGAGAGTATTACAGGTGAGGTTTCATTAGGTGACGTCCCAAATCAATATGTCATCAGATTCCGTCCCAACAGAAATGGGGTGCATAAGTTGTGCCTAAAAATCAATGAGTACTTAGCTAAGGAAAAACGCATTGTTTTTCCTCTCAATCCTGTTTTTATCAAAAGGATTGCTCCTGGACCAACTGCATGCATTAAGAGTGATCGCATGTCTAAGCCAATAGGTCTCACTATGTCAAAAGATAAGATCATTGTATTGACTGATTACAATGAATTAATAATGCTGGATAAGAATGGCAATAATCCCAAGGTGTACAAGCGAACAACCAATGGCCATCGTTTTTCATTCACAAGAGATGCAGCTGTCACTCCTGATGGTTGCCTACTGATGACAGATAAATACAGCATACTAAAGGTATCAATGGATGGGAAGCTATTGAAAGAAATTGGCTGCAAAGGTAATGGTAAAGAACAGTTTAATAATCCATTTGGCATTACCATTGATGAAAATACTGGTAAAGTCTATGTTGCTGATCTTAAAAATCATCGCATTCAAATCCTCAATCGGGACTACTCATTTTTTGATTCTTTTGGCTCAAAAGGAAAAGCACTAGGTCAGTTTAAGCAGCCTAATGGCACTGCCCTTGATTCTCAAGGTAACGTATTTGGACTGATACGTTCA